CCCCCCTGAGCCGCCCGGGGGGGGGGGGGGCATTTCTATAGTCCCCGGCCTGAGATGATCCTGAGTCATGAGACCTTCCATTGCATAAGGACCAGAGGCGGCCACCAGCTCCTCCTAGACCTCTGATTGGGAGATGCCTGTGGGCCCCTGCAGACCCCATCAGATTGGGATTGTTGGGGGGGACATCGATTGGACCGGATACGTTTGACCCGATAAGCCGGCGCTGCAGAGCTTTCGCCATAGAGATCAGTTGTGGGACAAAGCCCTTTGGGGCATATTTATAAAGTATTAAATGTGACTTTCACCAGACGTTCACTGGTGGTGAATCTTTCATTTAAAGCACATGCACCTATAAGATTCACTTGCAGTGTATGTTCGGTTAATGTCAGCTTTACTGCTTTGCAAGTGTGCCCCGTTGCGTTTAGGGACCCATTGGCTGGTGTAAAAGTATCCATGTGTACTCCTCGGGGCCAATATATAAATCTGCCACCCAGCCATACGCTGGACAAGTGCTGCTCACAAGGCATTCCCACCACTAGATGGAGTAGAGGAGCATATGGGTGGGTGGCAGATTTATAACTGGGCCCCTTAGTGCCTATGGTGGCCTATAAACATGAGTGCTCGGATTTCCCGAAGGTGCGTCGCTCAGTCAACCCCCAACAAACGCTGACCAATTGGGCAATGCTTCTCTCGGACTGTTTGACTCCGCCTCCCCCTTCCTCCTCCATTAAATGAATAGAGGTGCCTGCATGGCCAAAGGTTCCCTGCTGATAGATAAAGCCGCTGGGCCAAAAGACCTCAAGAGATGGAGACTTCTTCTCCCAGGGTGACAACGCTGCTGCTCCCATGGATGCAGTATAGTGAGAGTTGTCACCCTTGGACAGGAAGTGTGTAAAAGCCTGAAAAAAGAAAACGAATGCAGCCGCCACATCGGAGGGCCGGTATGCTGCAATATGTGACGTTTGGATTCATATACACAAGTCTCTGTATATACACCAGGTCATGTGAAGCCGGAGGGTCAGTATATGAACCAGGCGAGCGGCATTTTCGGAAGGGGGTCCGCCATGACGGCTCTTGTGTCGCTCTCATGACAAGTGCACTTTACATTGGGCTGACGGGATTGATATAAATATGACGCCGGCGGTGATCGCGGTTCCTGTATCCGTAGTGCCGCGCGCCGCTCTGCCCCGTCATTTACACTCTATTTTCTGCCTCCTGACTATAATTACCCGGCTCCGGAGACGTCTCTGCGCCGCCACAGCCTATGTCAGCGACATTTACTGCCGCACACGTTAAAGGGGCACTCCGGCCAAGTCTACAAGTGAAGCTAAAACCTCATCGCTACAATCTGATAGAAGCTTCAACTTGTTTTCATTACAATGATCCCGCCATGGAGGTCCTTGTTCTGGCACTTCCTGTTATAGGGTGACAACGCTCTGTCCTTGTTCTGGCACTTCCTGTTATAGGGTGACATTGCTCTGTCCTTGTTCAGGCACTTCCTGTTATAGGGTGACATTGCTCTGTCCTTGTTCAGGCACTTCCTGTTATAGGGTGACATTGCTCTGTCCTTGTTCAGGCACTTCCTGTTATAGGGTGACATTGCTCTGTCCTTGTTCAGGCACTTCCTGTTATAGGGTGACATTGCTCTGTCCTTGTTCAGGCACTTCCTGTTATAGGGGGACAATGCTCTGCCCTTGTTCAGGCACTTCCTGTGATAGGGTGACAATGCTCTGCCCTTGTTCAGTCACTTCCTGTGTATAGAGTGACACTGCTCTGTCCTTGTTCAGACACTTCCTGTTATAGGGTAACAATGCTGTGTGCTTGTTCAGACACTTCCTGTTATAGGGTGACAACGCTCTGTCCTTGTTCAGACACTTCCTGTTATAGGGTGACAACGCTCTTTTTCCCAATTGTTCTCTTGCGTTGTCACCCTGTCACATGGGCCCCCAGTGAAGTCTACAATTGGCTGTCTCATCACACATTTCACAAACATGGTCCACTGTTGTCACCATCAGGAAACCCGCCCTGTGTCACGCAGCCCTCGCCGGAGCGCACGTAGTCAGGATAATACCGCGCTTCTTATCTTCTCCTAATCTACATAAAACAGGTTCTCGGTCCGACATATTCCTTCCAATTCTCCTCTGTGCGCAGTAATAACGCATGACTTACTGCAACTCACAGCAACACGTTACATGCATAGCAGTGTCATTAAGTTTTAAGGGGCGGGCAAACTCCAGCTGTGGGGAAACTACAAATCCCATCATGCATCTGTCTGAGGGAGTCATACTGTTGATGTTGTAAGAATCCTGCAATGCCTAATGGGATTTGTAGTTCCACAACAGCTGAAGAGAGCGGCTGTTTGCCTTACCCCTGCATTAGGGCAACGCACCATGAGAGCAATGCATTACAGAATGGGGGTCAGGTCTGATTGTTGGGACCTTTCAGTGCGTTGTCATTCATTTTAATAGGGAAAGTGAACAGAAGACGCATGTCATAGGAGTCACGGAGTCCATAAAAAAAAGTTTAATTACTGCGTTTGATCGGCTCGGTTATTAAACGTTTCCTACGCACTCTGTGACTTCCATGACATGCGTTCTAGTCCGGCGCTCTTCTGTTCTCTGTCCTGAGTTGCTCCCGCTACCTCCCATTGAGCATCCTAACCGCAATCTAATGGGCTACCTACAGATCTACCATAAAGGAGACTCCTCCC